AATAATACATGTTATATGAAAAAATTCCCTCAACCCTCCAATTTTATTTCTGAAAATATGTGTAAGAAAACTTCCAAATACATTTAATTGGCTCATTATATGGTCATCTACCCTTAAGAAATGGTGTGGCCTGTCTGAGATTTCTAGAGGGTCATCTAGACATCATTTGGGGTATGAATGCGTGTTATTCCATCTGTGAGTAGAGGTATAGACAGCATTTACTAGTGAACTGTTGTCCTGAATGCTGTCTATTTGATTTTTCATCTGGTATGTCTTGTTTGGTAAGAATATATATTTATCTGATGTTGTATGTCACATTTAAGAACCCAGTTTCAGTAATTTCTCATAGTAACTCACCTGTGAGACCGTTTTGTTGCTACTTTAATCCAACCTCATCTCTTGAATTCTTGTTAATGGTTCATTAGTGTTATTTAAAAAGTGCTCTGTAGGGGCGCCTGGGTGGCTCAGTCGATTAAGCGGCCGACTTCGGCTCAGGTCATGATCTCACGGTCCGTGAGTTCGAGCCCCGCATCGGGCTCTGTGCTGACAGCTCAGAGCCTGGAGCCTACTTCAGACTCTGTGTCTCCCTCTCTCTCTGACCCTTCCTCGTTCATGCTCTGTCAATATCTGTCTCAAAAATAAATAAACATTAAATAAAAAAAAGTGCTCTGTAGACATTAAATTTGGGAAACAGTGAAATGATTCATAAAATGACCACATTAAAAAAAAACCCAAACTCTTTAGTTGTGTTTTTACCAGTAGTTATGCATATCTAAACGTGGATGTACATTTAATATATATATTTTTTAAGATTTTGTCTTTAATCTCTGGACCCAATGTGGGGCTTGAACTTACAACCCTGAGATCAAGAGTTGCATGCTGTACCAATTGAACCAGCCAGGCACCCCAAAGATATTTAATGATTTCTAATAAAGCCTGAATGTTAGTAAATGCCTGGAAACCAGGTTTCCCCCATCCCCCATACAGCAGAATTGACCATCAGTGATGTTTGGATGGATTGGCTGTTTTCTGCCTCACCAAGTTTTGCTTATGTATAAACGTTATGCTACAGGCTTCTTGAAACCAGGTAAGATAAATGTCAGGTTTCTATAAACTGATGTTCTAGAGATCACATGTTGCACTGATAACTATTTTCTTAAAATCCGTTTTAGTACCACTCAGTAAGGTTAGAGTGGGGGAAGACAGTGCCCTTGCCTAGCTTTCATAATTATAGCTTTTAATAAGTGAAGGCCAGGAAATTGGAGCACTGTATTTTCATATAAAAATAAGCATGCTGTCTTCCCTGTGGTATGGTTTTCAAATCTTTGAAATTGTAAAATTACTCTTGATTATACATATATAAATTGTACTTGTATTTTGGGTCAAGAAGACATATTCAGAAAATTTGTCATCCAAATGCTTGTAATGGAAACAACACTTTACTGAAAACAGTAGCATTAGCACATGTTAGTAACACCCCGTGAGATTTCTTTCACCACAGAATAAATAGATTCTGTTAAAAATCTCATGTCTAATTCCAGTGAGCACTCAGTATGTGCCAGGCACTGTGTTAAGTGCTTTACTTATATTAAAAAAACAAAAACAAAAACAAACTTCAATTAAGTAGCTTTGAAAGTTGACATTATCCTATAATTTTGTTTTGGGAACATGAACTGTTTGGGTTAAAAATCTTCATGCAAATTCCTACAAACAAATTGAGTGTGGATGTGCAGTGGGTGGTTTTTAAGCTTAAATATCTCAGCTGGATTTAATTACCTTAAGGGATAAGGCTACATGATGGGCCAGTGGCTTACCAAATTATTTTTCATTTTCTGGATCTCGATGTCACTAAAGGTTAATGCATCCTCTTTTCTCTGTTACAGACCCGAGTTAAAATCCATTTTAGAGCATAAGTGTAAATGAATTTGTTGTTGTTTTTCCTCCTTGGGGACACAGTGGTCATTTTGCGAGGCTGCTTTTCCATTTGGAATTGTTGGCAGCTCGCATGAGGCCCAGGGGCTCTTGTCACAGGGGCAGTTATGGGTCAGCATGAAAATGAACTGGCAGGCTTCCGGGGGCAGAGCTGGCTCAGGGCTTGCCACTTTTTCATTCCTTCCTTCTTGCTTGGTTAACTTAAGGAGACTTACTTGCTACTGACATTTGATTATATAGCACATCACAAAACAAGTGCTGTGTTTGTGGGTCAGCCGTTGCATTTTCCGCCCCCACCTCAGGCCAGTTTGTATTTGGCGGCTCCCAGACTTGCTGTATTCGCTGCCCACGTGCTCCTCAGTGACATTGTGCACTGGTGTCGGTCTGTGATCAGCACTTTTGATCATTGATACGTTTCATGGCTTTCGTTATCTATTGCTTTTATTTAAACGCCTTACTTTTTAGGAGCATGTTTATCTCCCTAATTACATCCACTCTTTGTACCTTGAAGTATTACTAGTTATTGCCTTTCTCTGTACCTTTTAGGGATATTTACAAGTATAACCTAAGCAGGGAGTAGTCGTAGCACAGGAATCCCTTTGGGGAGCTGGGTAGGGCTCTTCTCCCTCCGAGTTCAGCTTGTAGTCCTCTCTTTTCTATTACTACTCCTACTACACTACTACTTCTATTACTATTATTTTGTTTTGTTTTGTTTTGTTTTATTTTTACTCAATATAGTGTATTGTCAAGTTAGCTAACATACAGTGTATACCGTGTGCTCTTGGTTTCGGGAGTAAATTCCCGTGATTCATTGCTTACATACAACACCCAGTGCTCATCCCAACAAGTGCCCTCCTCAGTGCCCATCACCCATTTTCCTTACCCCCCAGCGGCCCACCCCCGTCAACCCTCAGTTTGTTCTCTGTATTTAAGAGTCCTTTATTTTCCCTCCCTCTGTTTGAAACCATTTTTTTCTCCTTTCCTTATTATTATTTTCTTCTTTGTGTTTCTCTCTTGCTTTTATTTTTCTCCTAAGGAATAGTAAGAGTATATTCTTCACCTTGTTATTTTCTTTAAAAAATCTAGATCTTGGGGTGCCTGGGTCGCTCGGTAGGTTAAGCGTGCGAATTTGGCTCAGGTCATGATCTTGTGGTTCTTGAGTTCAAGCCCCACGTCGGGCTCTGTGCTGACAGGTTGGAGCCTGGAGCCTGCTTCGGATTCTGTGTCTCCCTCTCTCTCTGCTCCTCTGCTTGCGATCTCTCTCTCTCTCTCTTTTTCTCTTTCTCAAAAATAAATAAACATGAAAAAGAATTTTAAAAATCTAGATCTTTATGGAAAGACAAATATAATCTTATATCCATGGATAAATGGGATCATATGAAACATAATTTATTTCCCCCCCTTTACAGTTACTACTTTGGTCTCAGAGTGAGTTGTTCCACACTCCCCGAGGCCCTCATCTTCATTTGTTGGAGGTATTCCTATTCCATTTTTATTCATCCAATCTTTTCTGTCTTAAAATCTCCCAAATTGCACTTCACACCAGGAGCGTTTCCTTCTCTGTAGTTTATCTTCTCTTCACCGTTCATATCCCATTTCTTCTGTCGAACTGGATCAGGTCAAGGAGAGGTGATGACTGTTATTTTCTGCTCGTAGCTTTCATGTCAAAAATGCATTTACCTCTGTGTATGTGTGTACGAAGAAGAGCGAGCAAGAGCCTGTCTGTATGTAGGCACACATGTAGACTTAGGCTAACCAAGCTCTGCCTCATGATCACAGTGAGAATTATTTAAACATTCACGTAGTGTGCTTTTCTTATGTTTTATTTTTATATTTTAAACATTTATTTATTTTTGAGACAGAGACGGAGCATGAACAGGGAAGGGTCAGAGAGAGAGGGAGACACAGAATCTGAAACAGGCTCCAGGCTCTGAGCTGTCAGCACAGAGCCCGGCGCGGGGCTCGAACTCACGGACCGCGAGATCATGACCTGAGCTGCAGTCGGACGCTCAACCGACTGAGCCACCCAGGTGCCCCTCATGTAGTGTGCTTTTATTTAGTCTTAGTCTTAAAAAGCTAAATGTGATTAAAAGTTGATTTCAGTCATTAGTATGTGGACTTCTTGTGAGGAGTTGAATGACATCATGTGGTCAGGGAGGCCATCACACTTGTGTCTGTTAACAGGCAGTGTGTGCGGGAATAAATGATACATACAGCTCTGTGGTGCTTTAGATACCTTTATGTTTATCTTTTTTTTTTTTCAGTGAAAAATTTTCCTCTATTCTTTTTTTATTTTAATTTATCGTCAAATTGGCTTACATACAACACCCAGTGCTCATGCCAACAAGTGCCCTCCTTACTGCCCATCACCCACTTTCCCCTCTCCCCCACCTCCCCATCAGTTTGTTCTCTGTATTTATTTTTTTATTAAATTTTTTTTTCAACGTTTTTTATTTATTTTGGGGACAGAGAGAGACAGAGCATGAACGGGGGAGGGGCAGAGAGAGAGGGAAACACAGAATCGGAAACAGGCTCCAGGCTCTGAGCCATCAGCCCAGAGCCCGACGCGGGGCTCGAACTCACGGACCGCGAGATCGTGACCTGGCTGAAGTCGGACGCTTAACCGACTGCGCCACCCAGGCGCCCCTGTTCTCTGTATTTAAAAGTCTCTCGTGGTTTGCCTCCCTCCCTCTCTGTTTGTAACTGTTTATTTTCCCCTTCCCCTCCCCCATGGCCTTCTGTTAACTTTCTCAGGATCCACATATGAGTGAAAACATGATATCTGTCCTTCTCCGACTGACTTATTTCACTCAGCATGATACCTCCCAGTTCCATCCACGTTGCTGCAAATGTTTATCTTTAACAAGATTGTTTCCTTCACTGTTTCTCTTAGATGGTACACCTTCAAAGGCACAACTAGGCCTAACCACGTTATACTCTTCAAAGTCTGATGTATGCTGGTAGGGTTCATATAAATTCTCTTTTTCTTTTAGAAATAGTCTCTTGTGTTTCTAATATTGGTAGGTTTTGTAGTTGTCCCACTTAATCATTTTTTATTCTCTCTTCAGGTGTCAGCAGTGGAGTCTTTGGAGGGCCCCCTGCTCCAGGTGGAAGGACTGAGCGACCTCAGGCTGGAGCTTCACAGCAAGAAGATGAACCTCCACTTGGTTCTCATAGATGAACTGCACCGGCACCTGTACATCAGATCCACCAGCCGAGTTGTGCAGCGTAACAAGGAGAAAGGGAGAGTGAGGTTGGTTAAAGAGCCTCTTCGCTACAGTGTCTTGTGGCAGTGCAGAAGTTCAAGGACCGTTATTTGTTTCCCAGAAGACTGTTGTACTTGATTTGCTTCTTGGTTTTGCTTCTTACTTTTCAACATACTGTCCCTGAAACTATAAGATGGTTTTGTAATAGCAAATACTCCATGTTCTGAAAGGCTGTCATCCCAAGTTTCTTCATTCCTTCATTGCACACTTATTATGACCTTTTTATGTAAAGATGGATAAGAAACATGTACTGTGGGCCTGTGTGTGTACTGGATCAGAGATATTCTGATATATCTCACAAGGGAGAGAAAAAGATCCTTAAGTTATACAGTACAGCTGGCCTAATTAAGAAATATGTGTATGGACTGAAGTTATAAGATTCTTTGTTACTTAGGGGTCATGTTCAGCTGTAGACAGTCTTCTTTCTGGAATAGTTCAGGGGAGCTTCAGAGAGAACACTTTTCTTTTATCCCTGGGCTTGACCGTAGCATAGTCCTGTACTTAAGGGCCTGGGTGTGGACTCAAGAAATTCACTGGGTTAGTTTAGACCTGGTAGGAAGTAAGACCAGGTCTTAGGACAGTTAAGACAGTAGACTACTGACGTTATTCACATGTACCAGATAGCTGTGCATGTCGTAGTCCTTCCAACGTTCCTTGAAAATAGCTCTCAGATCTCAGAGGGCAGTTGAGCTGTACCTGTCGAAATACATGTGCTCGTACTTTTTCATCCAGCTACAGACAAGAGGAGCACTGGAAGCAGTGCATGCTGGGAAGGAAGCCTTTGAAGTCCTATCCTCTTCAGACAAAAATTGCCAACTTTGTGTGTGATGCTTCAATTTAGTCCAAGAGCCTGACAGAAAGAGAAGTTTCTATCTCGTTTCCGCAGATGGGCCCTAGAAAATCTTCTGTCAGGCACACAAATTGAGCTGAGGGTTATGTACCCGAGAAGTAACTTCAACACTGTATCTGAATAGAATGTTAGTTCCGTAGTGGAAAGTAGTGTTGGGTGGGGGCGGTGTTAAGGCAATTCCTTCCACAGTGTGTGGTGGTAAATAGCAGGTATGAATAGATTCCTTCCCATGTAAGGATTAAAAAAAATCCAAAAATACTCTGGGTTCTATGAAAGTATTCTTTAAATTTTTTTTTTTTTAACGTTTATTTATTTTTTTGGGACAGAGAGAGACAGAGCATGAACGGGGGAGGGGCAGAGAGAGAGGGAGACACAGAATCAGAAACAGGCTCCAGGCTCCGAGCCATCAGCCCAGAGCCCGACGCGGGGCTCGAACCCACGGACCGCGAGATCGTGACCTGGCTGAAGTCGGATGCTTAACCGACTGCGCCACCCAGGCGCCCCAAAAGTATTCTATAACATAAGGGAGAATAAGCATTACCTTGAAGTCTCAGAGAAGAGCATTTATTTGAAATAAGTTTATAAATCAAAACAGGAAGATTTAAGATGCTTAAGCTGGAGTTTTCCAAAGGATACAGGAGGATGTGATAGATGAGATTATTCAAAATTACTACTCCTTCCTCCAGTGTAGTGAGAAAGGTATATTTCCTGTTCTTTGATTTTTTGTGATTTTTTTTGGGGGGGTGGGGTGGGGTCTTGCTTTTGCTTATTGTTAAGCACGTGCCACAAAGAGGGGCTCGAAATGGGCTTGCGGCAGGGAGCATGCCCTCTTGTGTCTTTGCTGTTGCCGGGATGGCATCAGGCCCGGAGGAGGATGAGAGCTCTGTGGAACTGAGCTAAGATCACCTGGGCTGCCTAGCCTGCATTAGTCAACCACCAAAATATGTGCTTATTGTTGAATGTGCTTACTCTGTGGCTGTATGCAGCAAGCATATAGCTCCTGTGAGAGGGTAATGGAGAGCTGTAAGAATGGAATTGGTAGAGATGCAGAAAGAATGAACTAAACATGAACAAAATATAAGAACAAATGAGACAAAGTAGGGAAATTCAATCTTTGTTTCAAGCACTGGGGAGAAGACTTGAAGCAGTGATAAGGAGGGAAAAGTTTCCTCATCATACAGAGGATAAAGACAGGATGATAAAAGAAAGATAGTGGATACGAAAGTTGGAGAATAGTGATTTTAGTTACTCTGTAGAACAACACTAACATGATAGTGTTTTGGGCTGAATTGTGTCCCCCCTCCTAAAATTTAGGTCTTCAAGACCTAACTGCAAGTACCTCTGACTGTGACTAGTTTGGAGATAGGGTCTTTTAAGAGATACATAAGTTAAAATGAGGCCATTAGGGTGGGCCCTGCTCCGGTATGACTGTTGTCTATTTAAGAAGAAATTTGGGGGGCGCCTAGGTGGCGCAGTCGGTTAAGCGTCCGACTTCAGCCAGGTCACGATCTCGCGGTCCGTGAGTTCGAGCCCTGCGTCGGGCTCTGGGCTGATGGCTCAGAGCCTGGAGCCTGTTTCCGATTCTGTGTCTCCCTCTCTCTCTGCCCCTCCCCCGTTCATGCTCTGTCTCTCTCCCAAAAATAAATAAACGTTGAAAAAAAAAAAATTAAAAAAAAAAAAAAAGAAGAAATTTGGATACAGACTCACCCAGAGGGAAGATCCTGTGAAGATGTCGTGCTGAGATACCATCTACGAGGCAAGGAGAGAGTCGTCAGAAGAAACCAAGTCCCAACTTCTTGATCTCGACTTCCTGCCTCCAGAACTGTAAGAAAATGCATTTCTGTTGGTTAAGCCACCCAGGCTGGGGTACCTTATCGTGGCAGCCCTAGCAAACGGATAATAATTACAATGTAAATAAAGAAGCCCACTTAAACAGGAGAAAAAAACCCAAAAAGACCTTGGTCTGAAAATCAAAAGGATTTAAGATGAGATTAATGAAAAATCTTGTTCTTAGGTACGATCAGGAGATATTTATGAATTGTAAAAAAAATTCTGTGAGGACTAGGAAGAAAAATTGTCTCCTGTGACAGAGAGTTATTTGCCCACCTGATATCCATTTGGCCCTTCTTCATTTTTCATGACAACCCTTATTTTGTTCCTGGCAGCTCACGGGCTGTATTTCCCATCCTCCCACATAGCTAAAGGTGGTTTGGGAGACTTCTGCTTGCAAGCTTTTGAATCAGGGCTCCTGGGAATGTTCTCTAAAGGTGCCAGCCAAACTGGTACACTCACTATCTTACCCTTCCCTTGCCTGCCTTTACTTCTTGTCAAGGACGTGGATTGGTGCCATCAAGCTGTCTTGGATACTAGGTGACCTTGAGGATGGAAGCACATCCTGAACTCTGTAATAGCATGGATCCTCCTTTATAGTCTGAATGGGTTACATCTTTCATATGAGAGGGAGGAAAATTTTTTTATTGTGCTCAGGCCACTGCTGTTTTGAGCCCTCTGTTTTTTATTTTTTTAATGTTTGTTTATTTTTGAGAGAGCGACAGAGTGCGAGTGGGCGAGGGGCAGAGAGAGAGGCAGACAGAATCTGAAGCAGGCTCCAGGCACTGAGCTTTCAGCAAAGAGTCCCACGCGGGGCTCGAACCCATGAACCGTGAGATCATGCCCTGAGCTGAAGTCGGATGCTTAACTGACTGAGCCACCCAGGTGCCCCAATGAGATTTCTGTTTTATACGGTTGAACCCAGGCCTGGTAAAGAGGAGCAAAAATCAGGATCACTAGGATTTGCTGAACACAGAATACCAGAAGATAGCAGAACAGAGTCTTACAAAGTGTTGAATAGGGAAGAATGGGGACCAAAGGTTTCTATACCCAGCCAAGTGGACACAGTTAAGCATGGGCAGCAGCAAGATGTTCTCAGATATAAAGTAACAACAAAAAGAACTAGTATGCAAAGATGAACTCTAAGATACAAACCACAATCAGCAACTTGACAGCATTAAAGTTGTAGTGGTTTGAAACTACTGTAAGGACCACGCACCATTAAATATGTAAATGTGCATATAAAAAACTGACAAATACATTTTTATAAGATCAAAAATATAAGCTGAAGCTATTTTTGAAAAAAAAGGTCTATGTGGTAAAAGAATACTCTATAATAAACAGGAATTCTATCCCTATCTTACATTAGAGACTGGGAAATTTGGACAGTCAGGAGATAAAAAGGAGTGGTGAATTCTTGTGTAAGATAAGTCAGAAGTTGTTTTGGATTTGAATAATTGGAGAAAATGTTTAATTTAATTTTGTGTGTATTAACCTAGATATGTATATTTAAAGATGTCTTTTTTTTAATTTAAAAAATTTTTTTAAACATTTATTATTATTATTATTTTTTAATGTTTTTATTTATTTTTGAAGGAGAGAGAGACCGAGCATGAGCAGGGGAGGAGCAGAGAGAGAGGGAGACATAGAATTTGAAGCAGGCTCCAGGCTCTGAGCTGTCACCACAGAGCCCGATGCGGGGCTCGAACTCACAAACTGTGAGATCATGACCTGAGCCGAAGTCGGACGCTTAGCCGACTGAGCCACCCAGGCGCCCCATTAAATGTTTATTTTTGAGAGTGAGAGAAAAGAGGCCGTGTTAGCAAGGGAGGGCCAGAAAGAGTGGGAGACAGAATCCCAAGCAGGCTCCAGGCTCTGAACTGTCAGCACGGAGCCCAATGCAAAGCTTGAACTCACAAACCATGAGATCATGAGGTGAAGTAGGATGTTTAACCGACTGAGCCACCTAGGCGTCCCAAGATTTTTTTTTTTTAATGTTTATATATTTATTTTGGGAGAGAGAGCACGTGAGAGAGGAGAGAAAGAATCCGAAGCAATCTCTGTGCTGTCGGCACAGAGCCCGACAGAGGCCTCAATCCCATGAACTGCGAGATCATGACCTGAGCTGAAATCAAGAGTCCAACGTCCAACCGACTGAACCACCCAGGCGCCCCTACAGATTTCTATATGGAAAATCACTAGAGGGGAAGCAAATAAAATATTCTCTAGTGCAAGGATGATTTATTAGCTAATATTCTAGATTGCAAGTAGCAGAAATCAATCCTGATAACTCAAACACGGAAGGGA